CAACAAACGAATGGGGGCTGCATGCATTAGGGAACGTTTGGATAGAGCTCTCTGCTCACATTCGTGGTCATCAACTTTCCCAGAAACGCTTGTTAAGCACTTTACGGACCAGGGGTCTGATCACCGCGCTTTGCTTCTCTCGGACAAACCTTATGAGCGTCGTAGCAGACCTCTTTTCCGGTTTGATGCTCGATGGGCGCAAAATCCGGAGGTTAGAGCTATGGTGGCCTATGTTTGGCAAGAGGTGATCCCAGGTACCCCTATGTTCCGGCTTTGGGAGAAATTAAAAAGAGTACGGCATCTGCTGTATGATTGGAGTAGAGCAGGCACGACTAATTCCCTCCGGAATATTCGCACTCTGCAGAAAGAGATTGACCAAGTTAAGGCCAGCGCCCCGATAGACTGGGATTCAGTACGGGCACTGGAGTCAGAATTAAGTAGACAATGGGAGGCCGAAGAGATTTTTTGGCAACAGAAATCGCGGGTTAGATGGCTTAAGAAAGGGGATCAGAACTCTTCCTACTTCCATACGGTAACTCGGACCCGTCGAAAGCATAACTTTGTGGCTGGGCTTCGCAATAATGAGGGTGATTGGATCACTGATGAGGAAGGGAAGGCAGATATCGCTACTGACTTTTACCAAGATCTCTTCACGTCTGAGTGCCAAGTGGGTAACATGTCAGAGCGGGTGGGCCAGCTTCCTATTGATTGTCGAGTTACTGCGATGATGAATGCGCGGCTTACGGCAGTAGTTCTGCCGGAAGAAGTAAAGGCCACTGTTTTTAAAATGGGCTCCAAGCAGGCTCCTGGGTCGGATGGCTTCACAGGGAAGTTCTTCAAAACTTTCTGGGATATTGTTGGTCCCTTAGTGATTGAGGCTGTTTGCTCGTTCTTTACAACGGGTAGGATGCTTCGCAGTTTTAATCACACTTGGTTGACCTTGATCCCAAAAGTGGACAATGTGGAATCTATCCGTCAGCTAAGGCCTATAAGTCTCTGCCAATTCTTTTACAAGATTATTACAAAGATTATGGCTGAGAGACTGGCTGCCTTCCTCCCAGAGCTAATCACTGAAGGGCAGAATGCCTTTATTCGAGAGCGCCAAATTGTGGATAACGTCCTGCTAGGTCATGAGCTAATGCATTATCTGAAGATCAAGTCGCGAGGAAAGAAAGGGTACATGGCTCTGAAGGTTGACATGGAAAAGGCCTATGATAGAGTTGAATGGCCCTTTTTACTTGCGGTGATGGCTAAGATGGGCTTTAGCTCAGTGTGGTGCGACTGGGTTCATGAGTGTTTAAAATCGACTTCATTCTCCGTTATGATGAATGGGACCCCGAAAGGATACTTCTCGCCTTCCCGCGGCCTTCGGCAGGGTGACCCCCTGTCTCCCCTGTTGTTCGTACTCTGTACGGAGGGGTTTGCTGCCCTCTTGAGGAAAGCGGTAGCTGAAAAGAAATTGCAAGGAGTTAAAGTGGCGCCTAGGGCACCACGCATTTCCCATCTTTTCTTTGCTGATGACTCCTATCTGTTTCTCCGCGGGTCACTACAGGAATGCGAGAATCTGATCACAGTCTTGAATGAATATGAGGAATTGAGTGGTCAGCGGGTTAACCTGGCCAAGTCAGCAGTCTGTTTTAGTAAGAACGTTACGGTTCCAGACCAGGAGTTTCTGGGACAGGTGCTGGGGGTGGGGGCTATTGGTGTCCACGATAAATACTTGGGATTACCTACTCTTATAGCCCGGTCAAAAATGGACACGTTTCGTTATCTAGAGGAAAAGCTGCTTGCTCGGTTGCAGGGTTGGAAGCAACGGACCTTGTCATGGGCGGCGAAGGAAACTTTGATTAAGTCAGTGGCCTTAGCACTTCCCCTGCATGTCATGTCCTGTTTCAAACTCCCGCTCTCGCTTTGCCGCCTCTTGGATAGGCATGTTGCTCGTTTTTGGTGGGGGGTTGAGAATGGGCATGATAAGGTGCGATGGATGTCTTGGCGTGATATGTGCCGCAGCAAACATGAAGGCGGGATGGGATTTAGGCGGTTTGAGAACTTCAATCAGGCGCTGTTGGCAAAAATTTGTTGGCGTATCTTGAATGAGCCTGAATCGCTCATTGCTCAGGTTTATAAAGGGAAATATTTTCCGAGGAACGATTTTCTTGACGCTCAAGCGCGGTCCCGCCCTTCCTGGGGTTGGCAGAGTATTCTGTTCGGGCGCCAACTATTGAGCAAAGGCCTTCGCTGGCAAATTGGTAATGGCCAATCTGCCCCGCTTCTTCGGGATAGTTGGATCCCCAGCCTGCACCCCATGATACCTGTTTCCAATCCCTGTGTTTTGCCAGCCAATGAGGAATTACGGGTGGCCTCTCTCATCAATGGGGATGATGGGTCCTGGTGCGACGAACACTTGGCTAGGTGGTTTGATCCGCGTACTTGTCGGCTCATCAAGGAGATCCCTCTCCCTCGGGCCAATGTGGAGGATCGGCTCATTTGGCATGGCACGCAGGATGGAGTTTTTACGGTGAAGTCGGCCTACCATTTGGCGGGACAGTTGGACAGGATGGAGGACAGATGCCGTTCTTCGGTCAGTTGGATGGATAGATGTAGTTGGATTCGCGTCTGGGAGGCCCCTGTTCCCCCGAAGCTCCGGGTCTTTCTTTGGCAAATCCTCAATCGCCTCCTTCCAACCACGGAAGCTCTGATTGAGAGAAAGATCCCAGTGCACCCTCGGTGCCCGGTTTGCTGGGCGGAATCTGAAACCTTGGAGCATCTGTTCCTGGATTGTCCAGTGGCTCGTGCCCTCTGGGACTATGCTGGTTTGGAATATCTCGGGCAGGGGCTGCCTCGTCACACTTTTCCCTTGTTCCTGAAACGATTGTTGAATCTCCTTCATCAGGATCATTTGGTTATGGCGGTTACGGCTGTCCTCTGGCGAATTTGGAGATCCCGGAATTGGGTGGTGTTTGAAGGTAAGCAGTTTAGCCTTCCAGCGTTGATGAGACAGTATCACCAGCAATACCAGGAATGGATCAATCTTCCGAAGGATAAAGGTCAGGGTGGTCCTGTTACTCCGGTGTGTGAGGCTCCGCATTGCCCTATAATCTGCTTATGGGATGGGGCTACTAAGGTAGATTCTCACTCGGCAGGGGGGATGGTGGTCAGGGATCACCTGGGAAACAATCTAATAGCCAGAGGCTTTCAGTTCGCAGGCATTGATGATCCCCTGGTAGCTGAAGCTCTTGCTCTTCGTGAAGCTGTTCTCTGGTGCCGTGACTCGGGGTTTGTGGAGGTGCGTTTTGAGGGGGATGCCAAGGTGCTTATTGAAAAGATTGCTCGGGTTAATACGAGGGATAGTAGCGTGGGGGCACTTCTGGAGGAAATTGTTGGGGTACTTGGTTCGATGGGAGGGTTCTCTGTTCGGTTTGTAGGTCGGCGTAGTAATAGGGCAGCCCACTTGGTGGCTAGAAAGGCTCTTTCTTTGTACCCGACTACGAGTCGTTACTTTAATTTTCTGGCCTGGCTCAGCTCCAGGGTGTAGTTACCTATTTTTCTGATCAATATATCGATTATCTTTTGGCAAAAAAAAAAAAGAAGTAAACCAGCCCGCCAAACCCAAAAAAACCTCCTCAAAATTTCACCTCCATAAACGCATGACTGCTGACCCGGCCCACGTCTTTCTTATAGCCCACTCCACCCTCTTCCTTCCGCCAAACACTAACACTATGTTTGGCAACAAGGGGGGTGCAAGTTGAGGGGTAAATTGTTGGGGGTGCAACTTGGTGGAGGGTGTAAGTGGAGGGGTAAATTGTTGTTTGGATGAAAAAGTAGGGGGGGTGCAAATAGAGTAAAAAGTAAGTAATTATATTATTATAAAATAGATTTATCAATTTATAAAATATTATCACAAAATAATAACATGAAAATTCAATATATAATAATAATAAATAATAAATAAAAATAATTTTAATAAAAATAATTATTATATAATAATGCTCAAATATAATTATTTATAATAATAATAATAATCATTGGTCAAGCAACCTCGAAACTCGAAATCCAACTCGTAACTGGTCATCCTAAGGGGGTTCTCGTGCCTAACTTTAAATTGAATATGGTCAAACTTAGTCAAACACGTTCGAATCTGTAAGTTTTAACTACTTATTAAAGTAAATCGAGTTAACTAAACTGTCCCTCTCTATCTTTTCAACAAACGCTTCTTATCTCTAATTTTCAATGCAAATTCGGGTCAACTAAGAGATATCGATTTGACTAGGCGAACATTGACAAACTTGCTCTCTGAGTCAAATGGTCAACCCCAAACAACTTCTACACTAATATAGATATAAGAAAAAATTAATAATATTAATTATTATGTAATTATAATCTAATTAAAAATCCATAATTCCCCTCCTCCCCCTTCCCCCTCCCTTCCTTCCTTCCCTTGCACCCCAATTTGGGGGGTAAGCCGAAATAGTGAATTTACGCTCACGTTGTGCACCCCCCTACTGTTACAAAATAACCAAACGGGGGTAAACACCTTGGAACTTGTGTTTACCCCCAAACTTGCACCCCCTTCCATTTACCTCCCTTCCCAAACATAGTGTAACAGAAAACAAGAGAAACTCATTTTTTATTTTATTTTATATATATATAGCTTTCAGACTTTCCCCAAAAGCACCTTGTTTCCCATCCCCACTCCCGGTCCGGAGCCAAACTCTTTTAGCATTTCCCTCCTCTGCAAGGCAAAGGCAAAGGCAAAACTGGCATTGACTTCCAAGAAGAGGGTCATAGTTGTCATTTCCAAACCGCCATTACCCTGAAAAGAAAACAAATCCAATTTCAACATGGTCACGACAAAAGCAAGATAAATCAAAACAAACACTAAAAAGGCTGGCACCGTGGCCGTGGCCGTGGCCGTGGCGTGGCCCCATGCATCATCATTCCTCAACCGGAAGAATATTAAAACGGAACCCAAACCCACAGAGTCAGACCACAGGCTCCACACAGAAACGAGGAGCCACACCGCCATTTGCAACAGCCAGCCATATAAATCAGCAGCCCGCAAACTTGTTGGCTCTCTCTCTCTCTCTTCTCTCGCTCCCTTCCGAAACCGCCAAACTGAATTCTTCCTATTATAAAATAAACTTGGAAGGGTGCCAAAAACTTAATCAGCCGTTTCATCTCTGAAAATGATCTCTGCGCGCACTTCCAATAATCCTTCTTCCTCACTGATTCCCCTCTCCTTGTGAATCCCGATTTCCAGATCCCCCTAACGTTTAAACGCTACCAGTACTGATTTTCGCGATTCGATTCTTCTCCTGTTTGTTTGTACTCCTTCCTGTACTATTCACCATGCTCGGGAACGCCTACTACGGGGATCGGAATCCGACTCCGGCGACGACGGCGGCCGCTCTTCTCCAGGTTTGTGTTCTTCAATCAATCTCTTAATTTCCCCCGCGTCTGATATTTTGGGGGAGGGGGGATTAGGAGTCCATTACTTCTCGGGCAAGAAAGTTCTTAGTCTGGCATTCTATGTCGGCGTTTGATTAGTAACGGTAGTTTTTTTTTTTCTCCACTTTGTGTGATGAGCAAGTTTCCCTTCTCTGGTAAATTACGAATGGCGGTGCTCATTCTGTTCACGTGAATCCGGTTCGAATGCCTTTGATGAATTTTCTTTTTTTCTCCTCTGATTTCCGTGTGCCTAACGTCTCTTACTGGCGATGCCTCTGCAGGAACAGAGGATTCCACCGACTCTTCCTGCGCTCGAGCAGCAAGAAACGATTTCAATCGACGATGACGAAATCTTGAATCCCGATTCCGACTCCGACGAGTCGCCCGGAGCGCCGGTCCATCGTGGCGGCGGGGGCCGGATCGAGGCGTTCGCTCGCTGCGGGTTCTCTCCGCTACCAAAGGACACCGTGCACCACTCCACGATCACGAAGTGCTTCCTCGACGGTCTGGGGCAGGCACGCGCCGCCGGCGTCACGGTCACGGCCGTTCACAGGAACTCAATCTCCGTGCCGAGCGCCAAGGCGCGGTTCTTCTCGTTCCGGGTTCACGAGAAGGCGGTGGCAGAGAGGTGCGGCGGCGCCGGGAACGGCAACGCTCGGTACGCTTGGTACGGCGGATCCAGGGACGAGATCCGACAGATTTTGAACTTCGGTTTCAGTCGGTGTACGGGCGGTGGCGGTCACGCGCTCGGTGGTGTCGGCGTCCATCTCTCCGCAATTTCATTTCCCACGGATTGGTGAGTCCTAGATTTTTTTTTCAATTGTTTTTTTTTTTTAATTCGTTCGATCAATTGCGACCAATTGAGAAAAACGGCGAGCTGACCGCCGATTTCTTTCTTTACACAGCTTGGAATCCGCGGCCGCTGACCAGGATGGAACGAAGCACTTGCTTCTCTGCCGCGTTCTGCTTGGGAAAGTGGAGAGGGTTCCCGCTGGCTCCAGCCAATCAGCTCCAAGCTCCGTTGCTTACGATACAGGGGTTGACGATTTGACCAAGCCCAGAAGATACGTTGTCTGGAGTTCGTTCATGAACTCCCACATATTCCCAGCTTTCGTAGTTTCTTTCAAGGACCCTTCTAATAATGTCAATGGTGAGCACAATTTTAGATTTCCGGGTACTGCAATCGGCATTGATTAATTGCTGACCCCCAATTTTTTTTTACCAGGGTTGAACAGTGACACGCCCGTTAGTTCCTCGATGAGACCCAGATCGCCATGGATGAGCTTCCCAGCTCTGTTGAGTGTTCTGTCAGGGATTTTGGATCCACGCATCATGTCCTTGGTTTCCAAGAGTTTTGTAGACTTTCAGGTCTGGCAGGCAATCTTACTGAAATTTGCTCTTAGTTTGAGCACTTAGCCGAAATCTAATTTTAGCTGTGAGTAGCTATACTGAACTGGAACGTGGTTTTTTCCCTTTTCTATTCTCTGCAGCGGCATAGGATTAACAGGGAGCAAATGATAAGAAGAACAAGACAGCTTGTGGGGGATGAACTGTTGTCTTCAGTGATCAAAACTCACCAGAAGGTATGTGTTTTGCACTTCATGTGTTCATTTGGAGACACCTTTCCCATTCTAGAGTGATGCGTTCTAGGCCTGAAAGGTGATTGAAATGCACAAAGCTTGTTCTGTCATCAGCCTAGCGCCCAATCAGTTCCAGCTATTAGAGGAGAGAGTTGTGAGTGGAGAGTATATTCCGTGGAAGTAAAGTAAAGAAGAAAAGATAGGAATAAATCCAGAGTGTGCTGCGCGTAGAGGCGCAGCAGCCATCTAATCTACGTTCCAGCACACACACCTACATACACAAACCAGAGACTTCTTCGTGTCTAAGATAGCATCGAATCGAATCTCACCATTGATATTTTTATTACGATAATTGAGAACCTTTTTCCATTGATGTGTGTATCCTAAAGCTGAGAACAAATGATGATCGGTGACTCATGTCTTTTTTTCTTTTGGTTTTTTCCTTTGCAGGAGCTGACGAGGGGAGTCGCGCGGCGGGCATGAAGCGATCACTGGAAAGCTAAGATGGGAAGATTACAATTCACAAAGCAGTCAGCTTTTTTTAGCAATTTGATATTGTGGGCGATTGAGGGGGGGAGAAAGGCTTATACTTTTAGATTAGGTTTCTAAGCAAACACTTAACCACACAGAAAAGTATCATTGAATGTTTCTATAGTTAGTTGTAGGCACAGTTTGACTGTTGGTTTGTTTTTGTCCCACACAAACATTGCTCACACCCAAAAGATTGAATAGAAAGGAATTGGCTTTTACCCATATGCCACGTTTGAAGACATCTATTTTTCTCTGGGCTTATCTAGAGCTCAGAAATTCTTCCTGCTTCTCTTCTCCCATGGCAGACGATTTGGTAAGTTCTTTCTTATGGGATGGTTGATTGGTAAGGCTGGGAATTGGTGGGGTTGGGGTTAACAGCAGTCGAATCGAAGTCATATATGCCAAGCGCGATTGTACTGTGAACGGTTAGTGATTAACCATTGAACGTAAAGTGCGATTAACTATGTTACTAATCATTCTGATGGTTTGGGACATTGTGATATGTGGTTGTGCCATTATGTCACGGTTAACCATACTAATCGTTAAATTGTAGGTTTATTGTTCGATTGCGGTTAACCTATAAACAGCAAAACATGCAATATTACTAACCGTAATTATAAAATGAACTGTTTTTTTTTTCGGTTTGCGGTTAACCATTAATCGTGCGATTTCGGTGCGGTTAGCGATCTAATCGCAAAATCGTCACCGAGTTTCCACTCCTAGTTGGTTAGGAGTTCCAGTTCTCCGGGGAACTGAGAGAAACAAACAAAAGAGATGGTGTGTGTTAGCGTCGACGACATCACGTGTTGTTAATGAGGTGGGTCGGGGGACCTCACCTACAGTGCATATGAGATGTTGATTGAAGGTGGGCGGTTCGCTGGGTTTTTATTATAACTAAATGCGAGTATGGTCGGCGTGGTGCGGCTCCTAAATTCTGACGGGCTACGTGTCCAATATCGAAATTACGTCCAACTACCACTTCCTTTTCTCTTTGTAATATTCCTATTTTCTTTTGTATAATCCCACATGTTTCATTCATTGAGATATTTAAACAAGTTTAATAATAATAAAATATCTAAACAAGGCTAAAGAAGCCCGGTCCGTTATCTGTCTGAAACAGGCTGCAATTCGGAGGAGGGGGCCATTAACCCAAAAGACAGTTCCATCGAGTTTTTGCTTTGGGCGAAAGCATGGCCCATTAAGTGGGTGGATCTCGATGCTAAAGCCCAACTTCCTATCCAATTTGCCAAATCCCCCACAGCAATCTTCTCGCATCTTTGTTGTTATTATGTTAGTGGCTTATAACTCGGCCCGTTGGCCGGAATATTATATATTGAGTATTTATATTTTTATGCTACGTTTAAATCTATCAACCTATTGATTTTATTGACTATCTATCGATAGAGATAGATACATAAAGAATGAATGTATAGGTCGAACATTCGAAGAAATATCATCATCATTTAAGAATATAAAATATAAAAGTGTATCTTTGATCCTATTTGCATAATGATAAGTAAGCCCTGTGATTGTCAAGAAAAATAGAGTATAAAAGCTCACTGGAATTTCCACACGACTTATAAATAGTTTGAAACTAAAACTGAAACCTCAAAATCCTACAAAAAGGGTTCAATGCTCTTCTTTTATGAACAACATGCCACTAATAAAAAAGAAAAGGTGAGTTTTTTATTCAAGTCAACCATATATTAACAACTCAGCTAAAAGGGACCATCAAAACTTGAGAGCAAACGAAAAAATTAGGGTTACCTCCAATATACTAATAGACTCAATCAAATTAATAAGGCACAAAATTAGACACTCCTTACCTACCAATTCCAAGTAGTTTGAATACAGAATCGCCTTAACTTCAGTAAATCAATCAATGAATCCTCTTTTTAAGATAGACATAGGTTGTGGAAGCTACAAAAACCATAAACCTATAGATCCAATAGCCACCACTCTCCTTTGTACAACAAAAATTTTGTCCACACAATCTTCAATCTCAAGTGGCATTTGTTTCAACCCAAAATTCACTTTCTAATCCTCCTTCTGCAACTCTAGTTCTGCTACTTTGATGGACCTTCTCTCCGTGGTCCTCAATTTCTCTTCCAATTGGGGTTCTTGTCAACTCGTTCTTTAACTCTTCAATCCTCTTCTTGTACGTAGCCAACTCATCTTTCTCATGGGCAGTTGTAATAAGCTTGGTAAAATTGACGCGCATCTCCAATTCCATCAATATGCTTATCTCCCCATCGTCTGCCTTCACCTGCTTCAGTCAACTTCCATGCCCTTCAATACTCTCTATTTTCATTAATATCCTCATTATCTCTCACTTCACTCTCTTCAGTTGCTCCAGTTTCTTTTCCATGTCTTTCAATACTCTCCTCAATTTGATCTCTACCCTCACCAACTCCCTCTTCTCTGCCTTCATCTGCTGTAGTTGAAATTTACTTGCTACCAAAACTAAACTCAAGTTGATATCTTCTACTTGCCCAGGTTCAATCCCCAACAATCAAACCGTAGTGCTAAGAGATATCAGAAGATTGATTTTCAAATGAGGCCTTGTACTTGGAAGTGAAAGGGGCGCAAACTATTGCACGATAGAGGGAATTTCAGAGGAAGTTATGAAGGGATAAGAACAAATATAAAAAAAAAGTACAAAATTTTAAATTTATAAATGCAAGAACACAACATGTAGTAAAAGAAATTGTTTATTCCATGTTAGCCAATTACAAATTTAGCATTATAAAAAATTAAGGAGAGAGCAGAACATTCAAAATGGAGAAAATTACATGAAACTCTACTATGAAAACCGAAGTATCAAGCACCATAAAAATACTTATAGGAAACTTTAGTAGGCTAGCTAATCACGATGAAAAAGTCTTTCGCTTTTTGGAGTTTAACTTCGTGTATTTTTGTATTAATAAATATACAACAAATTTGTTTAATGTAATTGGTTATGATTGTTTTCTTTCTTTAAAAAGACCCGGGCTCAAATCATGATATTGATATCTTTTTATATGAAATAAATAATTGTAAAGACAAAACTATCCATCCAACTTTCACTCTCGTTGCAGGAAATTTGAAATGGAGAAAAGTACACAAAACTCTATCATATATAATTGGAGGATTTGTGCTCTCTGTTTCTCTCCGCGTCCCCCTTGTCAACTGCTGTTTCAATTGGGTTTCTAGCTCTTCCTGCCAGTGGTTGGTTGTATGTTTGGTCTCTCTAGAATCTAATTGGGTGGTTGTAGTTGCTAATGTGGTTGTCTTTTTTGGCTTGCCTCGTTCTTTGACAATTATGCCATTTTCAGGGGTGTCGCCTTCAGGGCATTGTGGTTTTCCTTGTCTACAATTGTCTTTCCTGGAGGTATCAGAAGGCATTCCAGCGGAGTTAACTCTTCACCCCTCGTCAAAATCAATCAAGGAGAAATGGGAGCTTTTGTTCTTCACTTATAAGATGGAAATGTTTTTTTTTCTTCTACTAGTAGTATACTTGTTGTGGCGACTTTGGATAACGGATTATGGCTTCGCTGGATTGATTATTCGGGTTTTCATTTTGATCTTTGGAAGGCTTCTGCAACTCGAGCTGCTATGGTGGACTTTTCTCATTGCATGGGTTAGGTTGTTCGGGTTATTTTTGCGGGTGCCATAGTTTATACTTTTCTGGGTTCGATGGTTTGTGTTTCATGGTTACAGAGCGGCTCATTTGGTGTCCACTAAGCCTCTGTTCTTGTCGCCTCATTTGTTTGAGGTCCGACTTTGTTTCTTAGTTTCGCGTGGCCATGATTCTGTTGTAAGTATACGGATCTTTGTTTGTTCCTCTTATTTAAGAGTAATCTAATGACAAATAAATCTTCTCGCATCTTTCAACTGAAGGGCGGACTCCTTGCCTTGGCGATCTACTGTTCTCAATTTCCCATTTCTTCTTCCAACGGCCAACAGGATTGCATGCCCAATCCCAACCTGAGTTGGACTTGCGGTATGTTTTGATTTGTTGATCGCCCTTGAAGGCATTTGGATGCAGAGGAGATTCTGGTACATTTGGAGAGTTTGGTATGTATGGCAATTTTGATTTCATTGTTTGGCAATATACATCGCATTTGAGTCTAGCAGTATGGACTGTATTTGGATACATCTAGAAATTTTTATTCAATATGGGTTTGGTGATTTTCTTCACGTTTTGAATCTAGTGATTTGGTTCGCACGTTGATACATATGGTGATATGGATCACATCTGGGTACATTTGGCAATTTTGGTTACATCTGGTACATCTGTATTTGAGAGAGAATTCAAGTAAGGTGGAGATTTGTTAGAATATCCCTTGAATTTTCATTTGGGTCTTATTCTTTTATTTTTTGTTTTGGCCTATACTGTTTGGGTTTGTCTTTCGGCCTTTTTTTGTGGGTTTGGAAAATGTGTTAGATTTTCTGTTTGAGATTAGGATAAAGTTCTATAAATACTTCATCGCCCTACTATGTAGTTAGGTCAGTTGGGTTATATTTGTGTTATCTTCTTAGCTAGCACACATTGTGTTAGTGAACCACGTTACATTTGTGTTCGTCTGTGTTGATATGGATTATCGATTGCACGTTTCTGTTATGAAATATATTTTTATCCGGAAGAGCCTATAGCCAGCGGCGAATCTAGGTGGGGCCACCCCCGGGCCAGCCCTCCCTGGATCCAGAGCTAGTATAGCCCTTGTAGATTTTCGATTTTATGCATTCATTTCAGTGTTTGATGGGTTACGACCCAGTTCTCTCCACCTCTTTTCAAATTTGGCCCAGTGCTCTACTCTATCCTGGATCCACCGCTGCCTATAGCGAGCGGTGTTTCACGCTATTGCTGATGTTCTGTTTCACTGATTGATGGTGTTTTCCCCTTGATGGGTTTCTTATTATCACGAAAAGAGTGAACCCCTTCCCTAATTTATTAGGGAAAGGCAGGAGAGGGTCGAAGCTCGCCCTTTCTGTAACGGGAAACGAAGGTGTTGTTTGTTAAAATTAAAAATTAAAAAAAGGGAATTGTTAGGGAAAGGGAATCGTAGGAAAAGGCAGGAGAGGGTCGAAGCTCGCCCTTTTTGGAACGGGAACCGAAGGTGTTGTTTGTTAAAATTAAAAATTAAAAAAGGTAACAATTAGCAACTCCCTAAATGAAGGATTATGCATTTGATCCTCACCCTAGTTCTATACTTCTATTGTCAGCCTTGTCATGTTAGAATCAGAAATCAACCATAAA